GAGCACGTTTGAATGTGCGGGTATTTGTGATATTAGTTAAGTACCAACATTAACTCAGTCGTGGCGTCATTGTTGTAGGTCCCTAGTCTTTAAAGATTTCCTCTTTGTTTTTCCAGGTGTAGGTATTATAAAGTTTTATTCTTTTTATACAGTATTTGACCATCTTGTTTTTCACACATTTCATAATACTGTAGTGCAATTACATTGTCATACCAACAATAACTAAATACTCCCCACTTTAAAGGTGTCTGCTGGTTCCTAATTGAACCACTAGATGGGGCAAGTGACTGTGGGGTGGTGTACTCTTAAGAGAGATGTTCCCTAGCAGTGCACAGCTCTGAACCTTGAACATGCAGGTAAATGATGAATTTGGAAAAAAGGAGGTTGTTAATATTTCAATATTTGTAGTAAAAGCAATACTCCAGTTTTATTCCTTTTGCTAGCTTTGCTAATAAATATGCCAGAAGTCCACAGAGGGATCTTTATGCACTGAAGACTCTTTCATCTCGCTGTTTATTGTTTAATTCCCCTTGATTTCTTTTATCTAGTGAAACATTTTACCAGGTGTGAAATTATTATTATTTGTCTTAAGTAACATCCAAAATGTTGGGCAGGACACAATGATTGGCACATGTCTCATTAGTCCCATGGTTTGGTTTAGTGTTTTAAGGTGCTCCTGTAACTAGTCACAGGTGTCCGGATTGGTTAATCCATTTAGTAGATTTTCAATTTACAAATAAGGATAACATTTCACTTTCCCCACCCTCTTTTATTTGCACTCAAATGCATCCACACCTGGAAATCTGGAAAGTTATGTATTCCGTCTTTAACCAACCACTATCCACAAGTGATTGTCCAATGTGCTTTACAATTTTAACTCTACACAATTAAGTAATTTGTATACACAAGTTGCCAGCATTACTGTTTGTTCAGATACAAAAGTGTAAAGTAGAACAATGCAGCAAGTATATGAGAGATTTCCTCATTTTTAAAAAAGGGAATGTATTTAAAATTGATATTTTAGCTTGTTTGTTTTTCATTTTGTGTGTATTTTGTTGGGATCTCTTCATATTAAAGATAATCGCTATAAATAAAAGTACTGCTCTGAACTGGTTTAAGCTAGGGCCCTTTTTTCCTTGTCACGCACAGACAGGAAAATACTGCAAGATGCTGGATTAGCTTGTTCGCTTTTCATTGTATTCTTTTCCAGCAGCAATCCGTTTAGCTGTGGTATGCTAGTTTATCTGATTAGCACCTAATGAGTAAAGGGGGTAGGAGACATGTTGCCTAGATTTGAGCAATTTATGCTAAATAACGTTTTTAGTACCCTTCCCCTCTCTAAATACCTGAACTTTCTTGACCTTCCTAGCTTCATTCCTTCTCACCAGCTCTTTCCCATATGAAATCATGCTGTTTTAGTTGACAGGAGTACCAGCGTGATTAGCCAGTTTCTGCTCAGTGTACATCCTGCTCAACAATGTTTGACAATCTGTCTGAGAGTCACATGAATTCAACAACTGTTGTTATGCCCACTTTAACGCCCTACCAGGAAACATTGGCAGTATTAGAAATCAACAGTTCATAACATGATTACTTTTATCATTGATTTTTATAGTAAAAGCATTGGATTTTTTTATAAGCAGTAAAATGATATTTTAGTACTTGTGTCAACAATTGCAGTATGTTCATTTAACAAGGATTCACTCGTAGTTTGAACTGTTAAATGTAGTAAAGAATCCAATAAAGCTGAGATTTAATCATGCTTAAAATAAATGAATACTAACATAGACGTCTTCTTTTACTGTCATTTACTTGCTAAGTTTTTTGCATAATTCTCACTAACCCTTTACTTCAACTTATTTTTTCTCTTTTAGATTACTCCTTATTTTTTAATGCATTGTGAAATCTTAAATGTCTTAGCTGAACTCTACAAGATCTAAGAAACCATATTTATGGGTTTATGCTGCTTTATTACTTCTCTACAATGGTGTAAAGTGGCCTTAGGGCAAATTAAAATCAGGCCCAGGGGGTCTGTTTTCCTCTCGATATGCATGCATGATTCCATTATAATTGAAGTAATACGTGCACATCACTAAGAGTGCATAAGCTTCTGGAGTTTCAAGAAGATGAGATTATTGTTCAGATAATACAAACCTAGAGAGGGAGTCCATTTAAAATATTTCTAAAACAGCATATTTTCCCCAATTATAACTTTATATAATTTTTTTTGAGTGGCCCTAAGTTTTCTTTTGAAATGCTAATGTCACCATACCTAGTAATTTATCATAATTTGAAAAGTCTTGTAATTATAGGAAGTTTGGAATGAATGTCTTGATCCTCCAAGCACTTAATATACATGCTTAACTTTATGCACGTGAGTCATTCCATAGAAATCAATGTACATAAAAGAAAAACATTCCAGAATTGGGGCCTAAACTAATAGCTCAACTGGGACCTCGCAGCTGCCCTGTTAAAATGCTGCTTGCCTCCAACAATTGATCATGGGCTCATATTGAAAAAGGAAGGAGAAAAAAAACCCAAGATATGATAGGGTGGGTTTTTTTTTAAATAGGGGTGAATTTTCTTCATGAAATTTTTTTATAAATAGTTAAGGCAACAGGTCCTAAGATGCACAGAGAGGGGAGGAATGTGATAGAAGTCAGTAGGTGACTTGGCTTGGAACCATAGAAAGAGCAGCATTGTCTGGTTTGCTGTAACAGAACACAAATTTTAGGAAATTTAAAAATTAACTAGACAAAGAATACTAGAAACACCAGAACAACTAACGAACATGAAGGAACGGGTAAAAGGGAGAGGGGACATTCTGAAAAGTGACTAAGATATTTGAAAAACGTCTAGAAAGTTAGGCAGCAGCAAAGAGTGAAAACATTGCTTAATTCAGTTACAGCAGAAAAAGCCATAAATAAAATACATAAGATTTGAAGTGTCTATTTATAGTCTGATTGTTCACTCATAAATGTAAGCACATCACAAAGAGCCCCACCTTTAGCTGAGAATACTCTGGTTATACCCAGTGCTACATCATCGAGTACAGTGCAATCTATTTATATACATTTCCATAACGGAAAATCTACCTCACAGGAAAGTTAAAGTAGCATTCACAAGTCAAGAAATGGCAAAGTTAAGATTGTGCATGCAACCTTAGCTCTCTTCTCCATTGTAAATAAGAATGGCCATATTGGGTCAGACCAGTGGTCCATCTAGCCCAGTATCCTGTCTTCCGACAGTGGCCAATGCCAGGTGCTTCGGAGGGAATGAACAGAACAGACAATCATTGAGTGATCCATCCCTTGTCATCCACTCCCAGCTTCTGGCACACAGGCTAGGGACACTCAGAGCATGGTGTTGCATCCCTGACTGTCCTGGATAACAGCCATTGATGGACCTATCTTTCATGAATATGCCATCTGGTACAGTCTTTAATTACATGATCACATATAGTTTCTCAAATACAATATCATGGACTAGTCTTTGTGTAGCTGCATCTTCTACTTCTGTGTGCTCTCCTGCATATGCCAGACAAACAGAATCCGTGAAAGTCATTTATACAGAAGATGTATGTACAAGATCTTCTGTGAGCTTTGCACACCATGAACTATCAGTTCTATCTTTTGCTTTCGCTCATGTTTCTAATGTCCCTATCAAACCTCTTTGGCACCATGTAACTGATCTGACAATCATTGCATTCTTGTAGTAATTAAGAAACTATTTCTGTGAACCTTGCTAGCCTGTGAATACATGAATGATGCAACCATATGATGTGAGAGCCAATCTTGTATTCTTTCAGTCATAGCTGCCAATTGCTGCAGTTACATTCCTATCAAATGTGTATGGTCCTTCTGGACTTATTAGCCTCTCAGGTATATTATCAGTAGCAGCTTGATGTGACGATATGTGTTCGCAGATGAGGATGGTGTTAATATCTCATGGTCAATTCATGCAGTTAATTGCAACTCTTGCCAGCTGCCCATCTTGCCCTAAGCCCATGCCCCTGAGCACACCTTGATATGATCACAAGCTCAGTATTTCCATACTATCTATGGGGTGAGTATTTGTATTTGCTTGTGGACATCATGTGTTTCCTTCCAAGGTGCTGTCCGTGGCCTGTCTTGTCACCCCCACTGGCATTCTTGACATATCACTGACACAACATAGCGTTCAGCTAATCTGCTTGATGCTGCTTAGTTGTGGTACTGTGTGTGCTGATTGCTCCACCATTGAGGTGAAATGATTTGTTCCGGCAGATTCATTGCTGGCTCCAGGTTCTGAAAGACAGGATATGATAATGCTGTTTTCTGTGTATAGCGAGCTGTGCTCCTTTTTCAAGCTCGACAACGTCATCTGTGGCAACTTTCACCCTTCTCTGTATGCCAGGATATATGTGTGCTGCTTATGTAACCCATATTAAGAGAGTGTGGATCTTTCTCCTCCTCTCATAGCTGGTTCACATAAGGTTAATTAGTTCATTACAGCTGACAGCTAGAACCCAAAGGGTAAAAATGTTCAGAAGTGCCTAATTCCAATTGGGGGGGGGGGAAGTGACCTAGGCACTCAGGAGAAAGTCAATGGACTTAGGCTCCTAAGGGCCTAGGTCACTTTTATAAATGACACTTTGGTGCCTGAGTCACTCGGCACTTTTAAAAATGTTATCCTTGGTCCTTTGGCTTAAGTAGTGGAAGCTCATACTTTCAGCTCTGAAAGGAGGTCCCTGATTCAAACTCCATTGAAGGCCTAAATCAGTTATACTTTCTAAGTGTCTGGCAACTTTTTTGCTGCCATTTTGTCATGTTTTTCTATTTTCCAAATATGCACAACTCACGTTAAATTTTGGGCCAGCCAGTAAATCTTCAGGAATATTCTAGCAATGTATGAAGTAATTATAGAAATATTTTATAATTTGATTCAAAGGGATTTGACTAAAATGATCAAAAATGTGTGAACTTTATTTTTGCTGCTTTTCTCTCCCCCCCTCCCCCCAGGTTTGCAATTATGTGCGGCTATATGTCTGAGTTTGACAGTATACAAAACAAAATCAAGAATGGCTGTCTCTTTAAGGTATGTTTTTTGGTAGTTTCATTAGCAACTATTCTTAATTTACTTTCCCCGATAGTATAAAAGGGAGGTTTTTGCAGCAAACTAACTTAGCCTCAGGGTATGTTTCAATGCCAGTGTTATGATTAAGAAATTATTTGTAGTGCTCCTACCACATATTGTCCATTAGTTTTCAAACGACAAAGATTTAAATATGACTTCATATATCAGTGGCAAGATTTTTGCTTTATTCTTTGACCTAAGCAAAGTGGGGAAAAGTAATTCTACTGTTGTAATTAAAAAAGAAAATTGAAACAAGTTTAACACTAAATGCAGCAATTTCCTACAGTGATTGATGTTGCTTCATGTCACCCTGGGGAAGTGATAATTTTGTTTAATGTTTTCCATTTGCAGATACATGTATATTTCACATTCAGAAACGTGGGCTATGTCACTTAGCATTGCAACATGGGGGAAGGTCTTGCCAGGGGCTTTGTCCTTATCCTCCTTTTCTAGTCTTACATCTTTCCCAGGGATTCTCATATACACATATGGCTTCAATTACCATCTTTACATGGGTGACTCATAAATCTGCCTTTTTGCTCCTGGCTCATCTCTGGCCCCCCAAGCCTGTATTTCAGCCTCTTTCCAGCATCTCCTCTACAGCAGCAGAGTACATTCCCACAGTGACCCTGAACCTGCTTCTTGGAGTCCTGGCCCCTAGGATATTGGCAAGAGAATGCCATGGCTAGCATCCCTGCTTCTATTAGCTACACCAACCAGTGCCCAGTGTCTTGTGTTATTTCCTTTGTAGCTCCAGTTTTTAAGGTTTCTTTTTATGTTTAATTTTTATCTATTACATGGCACCATGGATGTGCATCACACTTTATAAAACAAAAAGAAGGAACTATGTCTCTGCCACAGAAACTTAAAATCTTAGTTGTAATTTAAAGGTGTCTAAGGCGAAGTTTTTCCATGTGCTATTATATTTTAAATGTTATTTATTGAGGCCCACACACACCTATACGATCCATGTTGAATACCACCTTACTGCACAAGTAGTCCCAATGAATGAATGAGACCCAGAAATAGAAGGCTGATAAACTTGTGCTGCTATTCAGCAAGAGCGAGAATTGTCCCTTATATAGCATTATTCAGCGGTATCAAGGCATTTTACATTACACAGTATATAACCAAAACAAAAAAAGCACATCTAATAAACACCGGTGCCAAATAAGGCAGTTTATATCAATGAAAATGCTCCCATAATTAAGTAAGACTGTTAGCAATTGTCTAAATTGAAAGGTGTTATTTAAGTTGGGATGTGAAAGAGCATATTATATAGTATCTATATAGTACAAATCTCATCTCAGAGAGCATTCCACCCTAACAGTACAAGTGAGTAAAGCCTAGAACAGGGGTAGGCAACCTATGGCACGCGTGCCGAAGGCGGCACACGAGCTGATTTTCAGTGGCACTCACACAGCCCGGGTCCTGGCCACCAGTCCGGGGGGCTCTGCATTTTAATTTAATTTTAAATGAAGCTTCTTAAACATTTTAAAAACCTTATTTACTTTATATACAACAATAGTTTAGTTATATATTATAGACTTATAGAAAGAGACCTTCTAAAAACGTTAAAATGTATTACCGGCACGCGAAACCTTAAATCAGAGTGAATAAATGAAGACTCGGCACATCACTTCTGAAAGGTTGCCGACCCCTGGCCTAGAATATCTGGAGTCACAGCAAAGGTCAAGAATGGAAGAAAATGGATCGATCATGAGACAGATATAATTACAAGGGGGTCATATAAGTAAGAAGTACTTTTTGTGGTTATAAAAGGAGTGAGTTTAAGAAGAGTCTCAAATGTTAACAGTACAATTTTCAGTAAGAGTCTCCTCTTCAGAGGTAACTTCTGAAATCACATGAATAATATAGAAACATGGGAATTACAGGGAAAAATAGATTGAAAGAGTAGTATATATGTGAATAGTTTGCCAAAAAAATGAAATAGGAAGCTCTCAGATCTGCAAGAATATGATCATTTGAGTAGTTCAGATGAGAAGTTCTAATACTTTGTACCACTATTTTAGTGATTTGGCTTAGTTGAAAAAAATAGAGATGTAGGAAAAGTGAAACCTACAGTATCTGACAATTGAGTTATGATGCGAAGCAAATGATAAATCAGGGTTGAAAAAAACTCCTTCAAGAAATTCCTTATTCTTTAAATACTGATTATGCAGAAATAATTTGCCTCAAAAAATGAGACCTGAAAATGGAGGGAGGAGGGGAAAGGTGGGTTTGGAAGAAAACATCTCATTTGATTTTTATTATTCTTTGTACTGTTTAATTCAGACCCATTTTATCTCCAGAACTGTGGGGCATGGGCATAGGAGCTGTACTGCAAGTCACATTTCAATTGAAAAGTTAGGTCTGTGGTTCAATTCCTGTCTTAGACATCGATGTCCAATTAATTCTAGGTTTCTGACTATCTGCCATGGATGTATTTTCATATTATCCACCTCACAGAAAACCAGGTCCTGCTTCTGAATATAAAATGTTGTGTGGTGCCATGTTCCACACTAGAGAAGGTTACACTTCAGTGGTTGATCATTAGTTCAGGCATACAGTATCTAGGAAGCAAAATAGGAGTGTTCACGTGGGGTTGATGCGCTATACTTTTCTAATACCAGATAGGGATAAAACCAAAGTTTAATAGGTTTGGAGTACATCAGTCTTGTTTGTTTGTTTTAAAGCTCTTTCAACTGTTTGTTTGAAATTTAGAGGAGTTAGGTCATATTCTAAATGCAATGTGTCCTGGTACGTTATGTGCAGAGTTGTTAAATAATTGTGTTTGTGGTTTTCTTCTGTAAGCAAGGGTATTGCCAGTTAAAATATTTACAGATCATTAGAAGAACTGTAGCAAAAGCAGTCACAAAAGATAACTTGAATAAATTTGCACTGATTTTGCAATGCAGTTTTAAAGTTTGAAGACAACTCCCAATCAGAAATGAATATCCCATTTTCTTTCTTTTGAACTTATTTCTAACAGGAGCATGTAGACAAAGCAATTGAACTTAAGCCTCAAGATCCTTTTTTATATTACCTAAATGGAAGATGGTGCTATTCAGTAAGTTGTTTTCTATGCCTAACAGTTGATTTGAATGTGCTGAAAAATGATCATGTGTTTACAATGGAATACTGTAACTGAAATCTGAGAGAAATGACACATTTATTGAAGTGGAAATGGTGAAACTGTAAACAAAGCATTGCTATGTACTTGTCATGAAATAATTTCTACATGCCTGGTTATTAATACAGACTGCCCTTGCTACCCGTTGTAATCACACTTGTTAACTATACCGCATACTCGTATTCAAAGCCTCTTGTTTTGAATTTTGTTTTATTATTTACACATATCCATGAAATGGTAACTAAGATTTGGAGAGGAAGCATGGGTGGTTAGGTACAAGCTCCTTTCTGCAAGCCCCTCTATTGTTTCTTTCCCCTTTAGTCTGGGACTTCTTCCATAGCTCAGCTTTCCTAGCCTTGCCCCTGTTTCAGGGCTTGACTCCCTTTTCAAAGTTCTCACCCAGTCCTGCCCTTCTCGCTGGTCAACAGTCCAGGGGTGTTCCCTTCTCCTGCTCCCAACTTTTCTTCCCAGCCTTCTCCTAGTCTGGCTAGGATCCTAGAGCTTCCTCCTCCCCACCTCTCTATTTTCAGAGACTGATTGTAGACTCTCCCTGCAGCCCCCTTTCTGCTTTTAACTTCCTGGCTTTTAGTAACCACACAGTTCCTTCCCAGCTGGCACTCATGTTTCATTAAATCCGGCTTTTCCTCCCGATGCATCCAGGAACATAACTGGCCTTCCCAGCCCAAATTAGCTCTTTCAGGCCCCAGGTGGGGTACACATCCCATCTTAGTATTGTAGCTTTGTTAGATTTTCTTGAAAGTTTATACAAACAAATACATGGCTTTTTTTATAATAAAGTTTTTCATTGCTGCATTAATGCAAAGGAGCGGTAAACCTGACCTAGGCATCTGGTTGAGATGGATTTACGGCTGCTTTGTATCACAGGAGTGGTACAGAACAGCCAAAACATACCAGTGAAACTGCACCAAGGCCTCTAATAAAGGCCATGTAAGTGTTTAAAAGTTGACTCTCTTGAGTTTTCTTTTTGCCAATTACTCACAATTGCCAGACTCAGCCTTGGTTTAACTCAAGTGATTTCAGTGATGTTACACCAGGGATCAATTTGACCCAATTACTTATACCATATTCTTTGTAATTCTCTTACTCTCATTCATTGGTAAGTGAAAAGCCTACAGAGTTTGTGCTGGATAAGTGGGTAGATACATATGCAGACTGTTATGGCATTTCTCAACTCATACTGGCAAACATGAAAGTATTTGTGTTGGAAGCTGATAGTTTACAACAAGCAGGCTGTCCAGTTACTTCATTTCTGCCAGCAGTCCTGAGACATTATACAATTACTTAATTCAATTCCATCTTAATATACTGCAATAAAACAAGAAGAACCTCTCATGATATTTGAGTAGGTGACAGTAATATTTTTGCTAAAATTGGATGGATTGGAAGGTTTTATTGAGGACAATTGTATTGTGTATTTTAGTTAGCTATTACCAAGGAAGCATTGAAGGAGGAAATTCTTTAGGGATGCAAGTCTTTTCCAGGCTGAATTTTCAGACTGAATGAGTTTGTTTCCTTGGTAGCAGATTCCTGGTATTTGAAAAAGACTTTGAATGGACACAGTTTGCATTTTGTTAATTAGCCGACAGCACTAAGTTCTGGTAGTGCTGGACCCTGGGAGAAAGGGAGGCTGCTAAGAACTTCTCATGTAGCCTTAAAATCTCCAGTAGAGAATTGCAGTCTGCTCCCCGTCCTCCAAGAGTAGGATTTTGTATGAGATTTTTGGCAGCCACCGCCTCTGGCAGCAGCCTATGGGTAGCTTTCTTTCCTCCCTGGCAGTAACAGAGAGAGGCAGCTGCCAGTCCCCTTCCCCCTCTATTGATACCATGGTTTCTAGAGATGTCTTCTTGATTGTTCCCCTCTTTGTCAGTAGATGGGATATCTTGGTGACCTCTCCTCCTCCAACTTTAGTAGGGTTAATCGGGGAGTTGATGACTCCTTGGGCTCTCTCCTCTGAGCACCTTTTTCAAGCAGAGAAAACAAAAAGAGGCATGGGAAAGGGAAACGACCGAACCCTCCTCATCCTCAGATGGTAGAGAACTGTCTTCTTCTTCAGACTCCCAGATGTATGACAGACTCCAGTGGGGAAAGCAGGCTTTTTAAGACCGATGCCCTCCAAAAGCTAATTGTTCATCCTTCAAAATTGATCCTAATCGTGGTATGGATTCTATTCCTCCAAGGGACATCAGGAAACGATAAAATTCTGGGATGATGCCTTGTTTTCAATATCTGATTTCCAGAAAGTATAATGGACTCTGAATGGAAAGACCCCCACAAAAAGAGGGACATCACCAGATTATGCCAGAAGGTGTATAAAGTTCAAAGAGGGAGAGCATCAAAATTCTCCTCAGATCTCAAAGGGGATTCCTCCATTTGTAAGATGCTAATAAACCCACTGTCCCAGTAGAAGGGACAGGCACCCTCAAGGATCCCGGTGACTGGAAGCTAATGTTTCTCCTGAAATGAGACCATAATGCTTCCTCCCTTGTTCTTTGCAATGTCAGGGTAGCTTCAAGCTATTAAGTTAGAGCCATGGGCTAGCTTCAAAAATCCTAACCTAAGGAAGGTTCAAAAGTCAATCAGATGCCTGCAGACGGCTTGTTCTTCTTGTACTGTGTTCCTGTGATATCAGCCACGTCCTGCCCTGCTCTCCACTCCCAGGAGGAACCTGTGGTTCTGAACCCAGGAAGCAGACAGTGGGTGAAATCCTGGCCCAATTGAAGTCAAGGAAATTTTGCCACGGACATCGAGAGGATCTGCATTTCACCTAGTCTTTCTGAAACCCATCTTGTACAGGCCTCCCCAGCAATCTCACACTCTTTGGGATAACCCTGAACATTGTAATTAAAGGGTTTTTTAAAACTGGAACAAGTTTGAGTTCAACAGCTCCAATACAATTCTTTCTTTGGCATCATTATAGCCCTGAAACACCTTTTTAAACAGAATACACATTCTGGGCCAACTTTGTCCCTTTAATTTTTGCACCACTTCCATGACACAAAGGGGATGGAGAGCAGCTCCAATAGGATGGGTGGGGATTCTCTTTGCATAGAGGAAGCGGTTAGAGTATCAATGTGAATGCTTAAAGCTCTGTAGAAGGCAGTAGGATGCTTATGTATTATCCATAATAATAGTACCAAACCCTGTGCACATTAAATATTATTAAAAATGAAATATTGTGCATGCATACTTTTAAAATGTAGATAACTGTGTTGCTTTAAATTGGTGTTTCTTTTTCATATAAAAAAGGCAGAGCAAAGCTATTTATTTTGAGCAGTGCAGAAGCGCACCCAAGCCAGCCAAAATACCCAACCAGACCCCAGTAAAGTAATTCTGATTAAATCTGGTAAGAAAACAAGACAACTGCCAGACAGAACTTGTATTTAAATTTCAGCCTGCAGAATTAAAGCAGCTAATTGTAAATTCCACAGTGCAAAAACTTGGAAGTCCCTTCACTATTGCATCATAGTAGGGGTGTGTGTGTGTGATGATGGTATCTATGTAGAGTGTGTGTGTGTGTGTGTATATAACTCTAGAATTTTGGGTGGTCCAGAGAGGTTCAATATGAGCAGTTTCTCTCCCTTCCTTTTTCTCTCCTACCTTACTAATGGGTTCACTGCATCTGGATCAGATGGACCTAAAGATACCAGTAATACCTTCCTCCCACTCCAAGAGAGCAAAGAGCATTGCAGCAATGGATTGGCTTGAAGAAAGCAATATATTCTTTTAAACTCTGCTGCAACCCCTCTGTCCCACTCAATGGGTTTTAGAAAATAAAGAGCAGGTGAAAAGTGCAGTGTGAGGAGGAGGAATCATTTTATCTACACACTAGCTTACATTTGTATGGTTTTTAACTCACATGCTGCACTTAGTAGCACAATATTGGCACTATGCATTGCAGGGGAGAAACACCATGTTGTTTTAATGAACAGGAACCTGTGAGCTTGTCAAAGAGTATTTCTCTCGAAACCAGGTCTTTGAAAGAGGCATTGGGAGGGAGAAAGATAATGAAAATAGATACAGTTACTTCTTAATATTGTTTATCTGCAGAATATTATTTTTAGTTGTTTCAAGTGAAAGACTTACTGACGACATCTTTTCTCAGGAACTGGCTTTTGCCAGAAGACCAGCGAGACTTGGCCAGGTTGCTTTTTCTCCATGCAATGCTACTCAAACTTGGCAAAAACGATTGAGGTCAGACAAGAAAATAGTCTGTATACACTTTACTGTTGTATGCTGGCTACATTAATACTTTGCAATGGCATATTTTATAGAACAGTTTATAATAAGAAATATTAAAAAATTCACATCCCGTGAAAATTTAAAAATTGTAGTGGATGGCAGTGGCGAGGTATATGTTACGATCATTAGTTTTGGATAGATTCTTTTCTTTAATGGAAAGCTATCAGCTTTCAAAATCAGGTAGATAATAGCTGACTGCAGCAGCAAAGAGCAGAGGAGCAACTAAGTAAGGGCTTGAGGGGTCTGAAGCTCTCCATCCCCCCTTCTCATTCACCACCAGTCATCAGTACTGTGGCACAACAGACATGAATTTTAATGGCCCAAGTCTTTGGTTATAATGTGAAGCTCTGTCTAAGCTGAGACAGGGTCGACTCACCACACTTTTCAGCTCCTGGTTCTCACATGAATTCTTTTCATCTCTTCATTCTTTGGTTGCATCCCCTCCTTTCTGGGCCCTCTATGTAGGTCATGCTAGCAGTTACCAAGGAATCATAGTGCCTAACTCCTTGGGCATATGCCTTGTCAGTCCTAGTCAATTTCAGTAAGCATCAGGTGTACTGTTAAAGTACAGATGTGCAGGAGAATCATCCTGCTTTTCCACTCCAGAAGCACTAGTTTTCCCCCAAACGTTAGTCGGGGGAAAACAGGCACTTCTTCCACTCAATGAAGTGGCATCCCATTTGAGATAACCAATTTCTCCATCCCTATATTGTCATCTCTTTGCTGTTCCTGCTTTGATTAGGGATTTGGCGTCTCTGTTCATTGGGTTAGGTGGTGAAACTAAAAATATTATGGCAGTGACCGACCCACTCACTCTCAAGAATCCTTTCTTGTAACTGCTGGAGTATGCCTAGATATATATGGGAAGGAAATGGCGTACAGTATATACTGTAGTGTGACAATGGCAACACAGAATGAAGAAAACTCCAGAAGATCCCTTTACACCAGCCTGTAATCCTGGGAAGAGAGAGGCTCCTTGGCATGTGCTATTGGTCAGAATTCAAGCAGACAGCTGGGCACCTACTTAGTGATATCTGTGTCAAATCACTGCACAAAAAAATGAACTTGTCTTAGAAGAGCATTAGCTTCCCACATAATGACAATATCAACAACTGCCTCTAATGTTCAGAAACATTTAGTAGATGGTCTATCAAGCTATACCCTCTATTTCAACCTGACATTTTAAAAACTGATGTGGGTAGTGATAATCTCATGTCGGTTTAATCAGTATTTTGCACTGAATTTCTCATGATGTGTATATTGTATTTTTACAGTAAAAAGGGATTTATTAAAAAACCCTTTAAATTATGTCAAATATTCAATGTGTGTGTAAGAGTTGACTCTGGGATAGTGAAGCAAAAATATTTTATTAAAGACTCCTTTTAGTATTCCTTTTCACACCAAATTGTATAAGTATACAGTAATACAAGGTAATATTTTGCTTCATAACTGGAAAGTAAGCCTTAAGTATATTTTCCTTCTCTGATTTTATTATAGGTAGCACAGTTGTCTTGGATTGAGAAGAAAGTAGCTGCTACTCTTTTTGGGACTCCACCAACTTCAACAGTACAGGAAGCTTTGCAGAATTTCCTTAAGGTAGATCCTATCCAACAGTTTTCCTGAGTAGCTATTTACCAAAGATCAGCTGAACAATTTCAGCAGCTATAAATTCAAGGTTCTATCACATATTTCTATAAAAACTTTTTTTAAGTTAGTATGGAGTAGAGTAAGTAGCACTACTTATTTATTTATGTACACCTCTACCTCGATATAACGCGACCCGATATAACATGAATTCTGATATCTATCCAGAGCTCTTACAACAAAGTTAGCATTAGGGGAGCAGAGGGAGTGGAGTCAGATGCTCTCAAATATATTTTAAAGACATCTTGAACTTTCCAGGAGATAGAGGAGGGTGGACACAGAAATAAAAGAGGCAAGGAGAAGAGGGGAAGGGTGAAAAAAATCGATAAAGCAACTGTGCATAGTTCTTGCCCACTTGCTTAGAGTGAGCAATGGTTGCTTGGTTATTTGACAGCGGAGTAAAATATCACTCTTTTTTTATTATTATCTTCCAGCTGGTATGAATGGGTGAACGCTGTTGATTTTGTACCTGGGATGATGCATTTTCTTGATCCTTTTACAAGCATTTAAGAGAGAGAAGCCCCAGGACTTCAGCAAAGTCTCAAAAAATTACTTTCCCAGCTTTTGTGTGTTAACCATAAGAATTTTGCATGTATATTTTTTTAAACAGTGCTAAAGGGATTATGGAGCATTGGTATGAGATGATTCAGACAGAAGGGACCCAGCCTAAATCTTTGAGGAAGCTTTGTGCTTTACTGGAAATTGTATCTCGACCACATTAGTCTCATCACGCTATATTTGAGTCTCTGTTGTTTCCTGTATTTTATTATCCAGGCTGAAGAAATGCATCCTGGATATTCCAAATACAATTATGTGTATTTGGCAAAGGTAACTAAAACAGTTTACTTTAAAAAAAATAATTCATAGAATCTGGTATTATAGAGGGCCTGGTTAGTTTTTACACATTTTTTTTTCTTTCAGTGCTACAAAGATCTTGGCCAGAGAAGCAATGCACTGAGATACTGTGATTTTGCATCATCAGTGTTACCAGTTACCAATGAGGTGAGTACCGAAAGTGGCAATGAGTTTCTGTTGTGATTGTTGTCCTCTCTTTGGCACTCATCACTGCTGTGTCCAAATGCACTATGGTAATAAAGCTACACCACTTTACCTTTTGAAGGTGAAACCCTCCTCCTTTCTTTTTAAGCCAGTTTATTACAGTAGTTGATTCCATCTGTGTGAAATATCTGACAAAATGGTTGTTTGGGAAGCTTCCTAAAGCTTGCTGTAAAGAGTTTGGTTTATGCCAAAGAATTGACCCATTTGTAATTCATCTATTTGTATTAAACTAGCTTAAGCTCAAATTGTGTCCCTACTAGCCATGCTTGTTACCCGCACACTCTGGGGCACCCCAACTTTACCCTTCCGTGGGCTCAAAGTGTAACCCGGTTAATTTAGGTACCCCCACCCTTTCCCAATTCCTAGGCACCTATCCTTACCCAGTTCCTAGAGCTCAGGGCCACCATAGGGCTCAGGGCATAACCTGGTTAATGTAAGTACCCACCTTTGCCCAGTTTCTAAGGCTCAGAGTGGGTTTGCAGGGCCTTATACCGGTGAAAGAGCCTTACACAGTAATATCCTTAACCTCTATTTATTAACAGTTACCAAAAACAGAATGCACACGCTAAGCATACAATGCTCATCACTCCCAATAAGGCAGACAAACTTTTCCTACTGGCCAGTCAGGATCAGGTCATCCGGGGCTCCTCCAGCTTCTGCATGATATAGCCGGCAGGCTGTTGAGATCTGGCAGCTCTGATCTTGGGCTGTGTCCTGGAGTTAATTTCCAAAGAACTTCCTTTTGGACCCCAGTTTATATAGGTAAATTTGAGTCCTGCTTAGCTGTACCATAACCAAAGTGCTCCAAAACAGTATTTTTCACCAATCCTAGCCTATTACGAAACAGTTCTTTAACCAATCAGACCCCACCGCCTTAACTGATATAAATCTTGCAAAATTAGTTATGTAACAGACAGAAACAATCAAAGAACCAGACAGAAACCAGACAGATAAACAATAGAGAAGTGGGGACCATAAAGGCAAAACAATAAAAATGTATAGATTTCACAATCAAAGCTGTCAAGTGATTCCTTGCCAGACCAAATGCTATCAAACAAAGTTTTCTTTAACCATCTTAAGATCTGTTTCTTTATCTGGTGATGGTGGGCACTATTACGACAGGATCGCCTTCTTAACAGCCCAATATTACATTGTTTTGATGCGATTTAGATGGAATGTGAAGATGTGACTTTTTGCTTCTTCGCTCATGGCTGCTGCTGTCCTAATGTGGCTGCAGAAAAAGGCCTCAGATCTTACATGCGGAAAAGTTTTGCCCCATGTCCACATTTGCGCTGCCCTAAATAATTTCGGTCTCAATGACTCTGGATTCTGGATTTCTGGTTCTGCTTCTAAAAGCAGTGTACTTTGGAGCCTGGTGATTCTGCAAGACCACCAGTGCATTGTGGGTCAGTGGCAGGAGGAGGACAAGTTTCAACTTGTCTTCAGCCACACTACTGTTAAACTAGTACAGTCTGAACCAGATGAACTTTACCCAGTTACATCTGCTGAAGAAAGTCTGTTCTAATTGACTATTAGATCCTTTGTTGACCATTTGGAGTGCTTTTCTGTGTGGACACAAAGCATTCTGTAACTACTCTAGAGACTTTAACTGGTTTAATTTCTCCAGTGTAGACCAGGTCATGGCAATAAGATCCATACATATTCTCTGGTCTCCTGTAGAAGCAAGTTTCACAATTACAGACCTTCCACTGAAAATGCCTTAATGTCCTAGAGTGTCACAAGTTCAAACCTAAGCTTTATCAGCCTAAGGACCCACTGTGAGCATTGCAGATGTGGTGGGACAGGAGAGAGAGATAGAGGTGGTTCCTGAGAGGAAATGGCTCTATCCCATTCGGTTCTTGAAGTTAAGGAAATAAGACCTTTAAGTGGCCCCATAGTTTGCTTGACAACTCTGCCAAATGTTCCTGCTCAGAAGACAGACCACTGCCTGCTACACCAAGAGCAGCTTCTGGGTGGGCCTTAGTTTCAGCCAAAGTTAGGGTATATTGTAATAATATAATATATTAAATATAATTAAGCATGACATTTTCTGGTAATATTTATTGATACAAATATTAATAATCTCCTTAGCAGTGTTTCATTCTTTACTTAATGCTAAGATATGCCTTGAGTTTATCCTCTTTTTACTAAAGTTAAGAGGATCTGTCATCAGTTAGCAGTACACAGTAGATCTGACATCAGTTAGCAGTACACAGCACATTGTAGAAAAATCAAGACCAGTGGCTTTGGGGAACAGTTTGTAACTGAACTGGTTTAAGCAGAGACAGTTTAGTATGTACACATTAGTCATAGAATCATAAGACTGGAAGGGACCTCAGGAGTTCATCTAGTCCAGTCCCCTGCACTCATGGCAGGACTAAGAATGCTGAAGTTTTGCCCCCGTGTTAACCCTAGTGCTATCCACATGATGTTGCAATGAGCTCTGGCTGAAAAAGTACAGGAAATCATTTCAGATATTACACAATAAAAATGCATCAAAATAGAACAGACAGATCCCAGAAGGTTATGGTGGACACACGATCCCTCAAATACAGCAAGCCAAAAGGATCAATTCTCTTCAAGATATATGTGAAAACTGGTTGAAGAGAGCTTGAGGCAAACAGCACTATGTTAAAATGCACTAGAGAACATTTGAACACCAGCAGCATCTACATGGACCAACTAATGCTCAGCACATTAGTGTGCTTTAGAAATCATACCCTGTAGAGTGTAGCACCACACTGTGTAGACAAGCCTAAGAGTGGGGACCAATTGAGCCCCTTAGCAACAAAATACTTGTTCAACTAAAACACTTAAATTATTCACCCTTTTTTGTTTTGCATGATTTTAAAGATATCACAACATTCTGGCCCTGGATTGTTGTTTGCCTGACTTGGCTTTGTTTACATGTGAAATGTTTTGGATTAGATTTAGAAGAAAGTCCAGGAAAAAGAGACATTGGGGTCACAATGAGTAATGCAGTAAAACCAATGTGTGTGATCAAACAACAAGCAAAGTCTGTGAAACAAGTAAATATAATGTAGAGATTTGAAAGATGAATTGTGCCAAATGTCAGTCCTAATTACATCTGATTTAGAATATTGTGGATTGTTCTGTTTATTGAATAAGGGAAAGACTATTATTGAAATTGGAAAAATGTGATGGAAAAGCTCCTGAAATGATTCAGGGTTTGGAGATTAAGGTGGGAAGAATATCTAGTCAGATTAGTTTGGAGTGGGAAGAGATTGTACTAACAGTGCAGAGACTCATGGAAAGAAAATAGTAAATGGATATCAATAAAGTATCTAAAGTGGAAACAGATCTGAAAATAAGGAGGTTATAGATTGAAGATGGAGAGGAGGAGAAGCAATTCAGGCAGAATGTATTCAATGTGAAGGTTACTTCAGTATAATTGTGCAGTCTCGAGGTTCATCATCTGCCATATGGCTTAAGATGCTGTCACAGACATGCTAGAAATCTGTCATTTCCGACTGTAATCGCAGCTATCTTCTCACGTGGGTAATTCAGCAGGGGAATTCTTTGCTTATCCTTTCTTTTTTAAAGACTGGCTCTTATTGAGAAATATGTACATTTACATAAAAAGCAGAAGCATAATATAATAATACTGTGGACAACACTATCATTCAATCTGTCACTCAGGCCCATAACCTGGGTGTCATCTTTGATTTGAACCTCTTTCTAGGTCCTCATTTCCAGGCTGTGTCTAAATCTTGAAGATTCTTTCTGTGTAACATCTCTAAAATATGGCCTTTCGATCCATCCAGCTAAAACCTTTGTCCAGGCTCTCATCCCGTGTCTCGATTACTGTGACATCCTTTTCTCTGGCTGTCACAAATACAATATTGTCCCACTAATGTCCATTCAGAATGCTACTACAAAGATCATTTTCCTAGCCCATCACTTTGACCATGGCACTCCTTTCCTTGCATCCCGTCAGTGACTCTCCCTTCTCTGTCATATCAAACATAAGCTACTAGTCATTACTTTCCAGGCCATTCATGACCTATCTCCACCCGATCTATTATCTCTCATTCACTAATGGAAAGTCAAATCCCTCCTGTGAGCGACCCATGATGCCAGCCTCCATTGTTCACTTGTTAAATTTTCAAGCAAGCACCTTTGTGCTTTCTCCCATCCTGCCCCTCATGCTTGTGAGAAGCTCTCCATGAATATCCACAAAACTAACTCATTATCGTCTTTCAAACCCCTCAAAATTCTACTTTGCTCTAGGGCCTACAAAAAGCTTGACTGCAGTTAGGCAGCTGGTGTGCTGAGACCGCTGCCTATCATGCTGATGAATATTGTCTCATTTCCTTGTGCTTCCCCCCGTCTGTCTATATCCGCCTGTTGTCTCCTGTCTTGTAATTAGACTGTGAGCTCTTTGGGGCAGGGACTGTCTTTTTGTTCTGTGTTTGTGCAGTGCCTAACACAATGGAGTCTCAGCATTGCAATGTCTAACATTTAAGTCTCCTGCCACCTAATGGAATACAGTCTCAAGTTAGGCAGCTAGGATCCCTATACAAAGCATGGGGAGAGTTAGAAGCCTAAGAATGGGAGTCACAAAGGCCAGTATGTGGACAAGGAGCTGCCTAAACTAGCCAGTAGGAAATATTGAGGAGAGAGATGTGGCCTAAGCCTCAGCTGTCAAAGGGACTTAGGTGCTTAACACTGGGCCAGAAGGAGGTGCCTCATGTACTCGGGATTCACAGCCGTGAACCCTCTCCTGGAGTTAGGTGCCTAAGCCAAGTCATTCTCTTTCTCACAAAAAAATGGAGGAGGTGGTAATAGTGGCCCCTTTATATTCAATAGCCCAGTGGCTAGAACGCTCACCCAGGCTGTGGGAGACCCCGATTCAAATCCCCACTCTGTCTAATTTGCATCAGGGATTTGAACCCAGGTCTCCCACCTCAGAAACCAGTAGT